CATCCATTTACAAATATTGTAGACTTAATACTGGTGAATAAAATTAACCCTCCGAAACTAAATTTCCTCTACACCTCCGAAACTAAAGCCGAGCGGCGGTTATATGTGTAGGAATAAATTGTTCAGAACGTTGACCTTGATAACATATTTCAAGATTATCACAATCGATGAAGAATGCCCTATTCTAGATAATTACCATAATATAGGTCAGTGATGGCGAACCTATGGCACGCGTGTCAAAGGTGACACGCATCGACTTAACCTTTCCGACCCGACATCGGTACCGCGTACCGACTCACCAGCCGTCGTATGCGGCCGACTTCGGTACCGCGTACCGACTCTGAGAATGTGTCACCGCTTTCCTTTCTTAATTATTCTTAATTTCTCAATTATTCAGTATAGTATATTAAAATCACAATATTGTCAAAGACTCAAATACTTTATAAACAATTCGATACGTTTAGGGCTCAATTTTAAGTCGGCCGTCGTGAACGGACTATTAAATTTCACGTCGGCCGTAGGAAGCGAACTACTGCAAACGCCGTCGGATAAGAAGGATTAAGTCACCTCACAGCCGAAACCGAGCAGATCACAAATAATCATCACACAAACAACAACGAAAAACAACGGTGTCTATCTTCTATCAACGAGCGAGTCAGAGATCCGTGAACCATAGCGAGTCCGTGATCGTACAAGGTCGTAACGCTCGCAACAATTATGGACACGGCACCCGAGTTAAGCTAGGTTTTTTCCCAATTTTGACACACCGAGCTCAGAAGGTTCGCCATCACTGATATAGGTACTTATATCTTACAAGGAAACTTCGGTAACTCGAAAATTCCGATTTTCTTGAAACTTTACTGGTTTGCAGAGGACCTGAAGAGAAGTATCGGGCAATTTTTTTTTGGCCCTTTTTTGGTTCTTCGGGGCGAAAACAGCCCTTGAATGAAGATAAGTGTTACCCTATTTCCCTGTATATCTTTAAAACTATAGTAGATATAAAAAAATGTTCAGAATAAAAATTTAATGGCTTTTCGTGCCTTATAAGACAATGCTATTAAATTAATCTCCTCTACGCCTCCAACTTTCAAGAAAATAGTACTACATGTTATGTCTTTCTTGCAATCATACTTTTGTACGTAATGTTTTCGCTTATTTCTTGAAATAATAGAGATATTGAGGTAGACAAAGTTGGTGTGATACGCTGTATTAATTTCGATGGAAGAAGTTCAAAATAAATCATGTGCTGCAAATGTGTTGTTAATTTATAATAATATAGGTAAAAAAGTATAGGAAGTAACCAAATATTTTTCTTGCATTGAGAAGTAAGTATAAAAAAGTACGTAAACAATTCTTTCTCTTTTAAAGAAATTATTATGTAGTTTTCAAAATTATTGATATTTTTTCATTGAATTAAATTGCTGTTCTTGATAATTTGCTATATTGCTCTGTTATAAAACTTAGATGTGTTTTAAGGCAAAATTGTTCATGCTTCAAATTAATATACCTTTTACTACATTTGGTCTGTATACAGTAAATTCTCTACAAGTTTGGATTCTACAAGTGTCAGTCAGTTTGGATTCTACAAGTGTCAGTATAGATGGTCCTACGCTTATGTTATCCTCGCTCGCTGTCAGTCAAGCGTGTAACGCTACACCACTCGGTTTCTTTTACGAGATTTCACGGCTCGACAATTCATAATAGAAAAATATAATTTCTTTAATTTTCCTTTTTTTCATCTGAAATTTTTTTTAACATGTTGGTGAGATTTTTCTGATGAAAATGATATCAAACACAATATAATTTGAATATTTACTTATTCACTGTCACACCAGACAGTGAACGTGTTAATAAGTAAATGTTGCTCAAATTATGTCGTGTTTGATGTCATTTTCATCAGAAAAATCTCATCAATATGTTAAGAAAAATTTCGGGATAAAAAAACGTAAAATTAAAAAAGGTGGTATTTAAATCGCTTGGTTGCCTCGACTCTCGTTTCATCCTTATCTTTTATTCGCTGTCCTTATCTACGTTCGGCAAACTACAAAGGCGGGTGCGAGGCTCGAAAACGTAGTCCCTGACTCTACAAGTGTCAGGTTTAGGTTCCTTGCGGACTGACACTTGTGGAGAATTTACTGTACTCATTATAGAAGACATATTTTGTAGCTTGGACTCTTAATACATTACTCATTATTGAGAATAAGGGAACAAGCACCTCTACAATGCATATTATACAAAAAAAGGCGTGCAGAAACGTCAATTCGTAATAATAAACTCAATTTTATATTCTTATTCCTTATTCAGTATATTGCATGTTTACTGACTTCCTTTTCCAACATTCATTAGAAGTAACATATTCCAGATGTTTTTGTTCCAAACCTAATTTTTCAAACCTCTAGTAAAATCTATTAGAAAATATTGCTAATTAAAAAATTCTAATATACAGAGTGTCCCACGTAAATGTCGCCACGATTTTTCGGGCACTTCCGGTAGCAGACAAAAAAATATTTAGATAAAAATTAATGAGTTTTTAGTCGGCTACAAAATGCAATAGAAATGAAGGTCACCTTCATCTGGCACTACATATTTTTTAGTACATAATATTATTGCTTATGTCAAGACGAGTTCAACGGCCTAGTATACTATGACCTTGACATGACTTTGAATTCAAAAATGCGAAATCAATACCTTCTTCGACAAAAATGTTCGTATCTGATAGTTTCCCGTGGTTCTGATTTCCTAAATGAAAAAAAAATGTAGAATTTTAGCGTTCATCGACAGAATATCGAAAGAAACATAAAGAGCGTATAAAAATCTAACTCACACGCGTTTAACTTAGTACATGTTCGAATTGTAGTCCGTCTTCTTGCAGAGACAGCTCTGCTCTACGTAACAAATTTCTATTTAATGCTTCTTTAATGCTCTCCCGACGAACTTCTTCGCACGCTGTTTTAATTCGCTGCTTTAGGTGTTCCACACTTTCTATAGATACAGCATAGACTACACTATCAGTTTGCAGATTAACGTGAGGTCTACTACCGAGAGGCCTACGGCCCGCCCTGGGGCGTGGGATTGAGATACGCCCAATCAACGGGGTCGTCCGACTAGACCCTCAAGGGGTACAGGTCGTCCGCCCACCCGTTCAGGGTCCTTGTGAGGAGGAATCTCTACGCTACGGGTGGAGCAGAGTGACTTTCCAACACTCTACCAATTCTCCAGATTGGTACAGGAGCTGTTCGCAACTCACATGTCGGAGCCTGGAAAAAGGGCCCCCGACCAGCATGCGGCCTAACCACTGCCCCCTCGAATCCGACACCAATTCGGCCAGCCCCCGGCAGGATACGCCGGGCAGGTGCCACTGCACTGCGCCCCACCCATCCCGCCGGTCCGTCCGGGGCGGGCAGATAAGCCGCCGCAACGCCCGGGCGTGGGCTATACGAGCTGGCCGCCCGAGGTACCGTTTACATCATCAGTGGGATGTGCGTGGGTGGACACCAACACCACTATCATTCGAGGGAACCTCACCCCACTCGGTAATGGTAAACCAGCCGAGGTATCGGGGGATCGCCAAGCCCCTAGGTACCCTTGGGTACCCCCCTGCGGGAAGCATAGACTACAGATTGCAGATGACCCCATAGAAAAAAATCTAGAGGGGTCAAGTCGGGTGACCGAGGTGGCCAGGGAATTGGTCCGTAAGTGCCCAGCCAACGTTCTCCAAACTTTGAAATTATGTATTCCCTAACAATCCGTGCATTATGGAGTGGACACCCATCTTGTTGAAAATGAATACGTTCAACAACATCAGTTGGCAGGTCTTGCAATAATATTGGGAGATGAACACGTGGAAAATTTAAATACACTTCTGATGTCAAATTTTCTTCGCATTTTTCAGTTCAAAGTCATATCAAGGTCATAGTATACTAGGCTGTTGAACTCGTCTTGACATAAGTAATAATATTATGTACTAAAAGATATGTAGTGCTATTTAAAAAAATGAAGGTAATTTCTTTTCTGAATTTTTTTCTATTGCATTTTGTAGCCGACTACAAACTAATTAATTTTTATCCAAATATTTTTTTTATCTGGCTACCGGAAGTGCCCGAAAAATCGTGGCGACAGTTACGTGGGACACCCTGTATGTTACCATATTTTATTATTTCATAAAGTAGAATTTTAGTTTAGATACTGTCAGATCTCTAAAAAAATGTCGTCGTCTATATTTACTGCAGTGTCTATCATTTATTTATCTTTTTGATTAAGAAATTTGTTACAAAGTAAAATCAGGTAGAACACATAAACTTATAATTGGAATTGTGCAGACAGTTGTTAATTATAAGATTTGATATCTTACCGCCATGTTTTCATCAACAATGCGGTGTAAGAAATGCAAAAGCCAAGATGTCTCGTCCATTTTGTGGCGATGCAGGAATACATGTCCAAAACGGGAAATATAGCGGCCATCTAAATACATAATGGAACATGGATAACAAAGCACGTGAATAGCACTTTGATATTTTTATACGATATGGATGTAGTTGAGAGAAGCTGTATACGTACTTCGAGATACATAATAGCGCAACCCAAAAGCGTGATGGACAAAAATATCGGTGAAGCGACTTTGAACACTTTGAGCTTGCGGTGTTGATACATGTAGGCCACCAGAACAATGGTACCAAATACACAAAAAATAGAAAACGATAGAAGAGTGATTCTGGAAACAAACGTTTTGTTAATTGACCAATTAAAGAGTTTAAGTTTCAAAGAATTATAAGATATATTTAACTATTTCGTAAATTCGTTTAAAATGTGCAAAACAGTGGAATCCGGTTATTATAATCATGACTAATGTTAACAATCGGCTATTGTTGTCATAATAGTAGTCGTCCCAAAACACTCTATATAAAATTAGTTTAAAACAGTCCGTCTATTATTATCAAACTTCGGCTATTTCTGTCAATTGTGATAATTATACTTGGGAACAAACGATAAGAAATGGGCTCTTTCATTAAAACTTTTTTTTAACCGAAGCATACAAGCAAACCGAAGTGTATATCAAGAATTCGTTAAAAAAAAAAACGTAAACACTGCAGACAACACTTGATAAGTTTTTCAAATAAATGTTATGTTGTTTCCAAAAACAGTTGTTTATAAAAAAGATAGAATAAGTATGTAATATTGTATTAAGTGTACAGTTTGTGATAAATATAAATTGTGCAAATGTCAAAATTGTGTGTAATAATTTGAGTTTAATAATAAAAATTTTGTATTCTCTGTTCAGTGTTATCAGCCGGTTATTCTTATCAAAAATTGCAAATCGCGAAGTAATTATAATAAGTGGGTTCTACTGTATGTCTAAATATGATGTACATATTTAATATAAAATTTGAAATGTTTAAATTTCGACTGTACCAAGAATGGAATTGACTTAAGTAATAACAACTGATTACTTCTCAAACAAGCAAAGGATAAAAGAGTTGTGTTGGACTCATACCGGAAAGACCAGTTGTAAGTAGCTAGACAAGGTTCGGGTCCTTTGCACTTAGCACATCCTGGTGCACAACGTAAACAATGGAACACAGTTGCGTATGAATCACTTTTGTTTTCTTGCATTTCCTTCCAAGCGGCTAAAAATTTACATGTTACGTTCAACGTCGTGAATTGAAAGTCTAGGTAAATGCATTTGTCCTGGTAGAGATTCAAATTGTCCACTGACCTTCGACGAGAATTCCATCAAAAGCGGATTGATGTTGGGTCGTGCTGTAATAACCTTTTCGACATTTGCATACATATGCACCCTTTGCCCAACCGGCGCCAACACCATTTTGATTTATGCGATTACTGGGACTCTGATATTCACACTAAAAACCGTACTCAACATCAACTACATACAAATTCTCGAACCTGAGTAATTTAAATTACAATTTTCAAGAACCATTCGCGACTCTTTCGATATCGCAATGTGCACCAAAAGGGAGGTGTTGAAAATAGGCGAATTTTGGCATTCGTCTGGAACGAAAAATTTTGCCACAGCATGATTCTACACATCCTAAGGAATAAAATATGTAAGTGTTGTAGCGTAACCGTTTTTCGCCTAATTATACGACGCGACCCCCCGTAGCCTCAGATAGTGGGATAGCGGCTCGCGCGCCCCGAACTTGCGAAAAGGCACGACCGCCCTGATTGGTCGCCCATTAAAACATATAGAAGACGGTTTTTCGCCGTAAGAAATCAGTCTTTCCGGGAAAGCTGAACCTAGACTATCATAGCAAACATCGAGCAGACGTCTCCCTCGCGGGTTTACAGACGACACTCAGTACCTTGCAAAAAGTCAGTACGGAACGAACGAGGACTCCAGGACCAGGTTTCCTGTCCTGTTTCTACCCCAACGTCATCCTTACCCACCCACCTCCTAGAGGCAGACGCTCCTACGCGGGTTATAGCGACACCTCTAGGTCGACTCCAAACTCTCCCATACTACCTGTTAAGGATACTTAAGTTAGACCAGGTTTACGATACGGACGCGACTCTGCTATTTTTGAGATTAAGGTTTGAATACGCGTTTAATGTTTTCGTTCGTTAATTATTCCTTATTGTCAGGAGGGTTCCAAACCTCTCATAAAGGCGGAGAATTTGGAGTTTTCTTCGTGCATCTCAATAGCAATTGACGTATCATAAACCCACGCGAGCTCAGGCACGTTTTCGCGAGCGAGCGGTACCGTTACCCTGGGTTTTTCCCATAAGCCCAGGTGACGCGTACTTCACGCAAAACACCCCCTCCTTGAGGGTGAGTGGTTGGCGTTGGGCGGGGACCAAGGCCCGAACGTGAGTGGGAGTCTTAGCCTCCCACCCAAAACTCACTCGCGTCAAGGGACCCAAATGCGACCAGGGAAGGGGAAATGCGAGGGCTGACCGGGGCAACGCGCCAACGAGACAACGAGAACACAAAAAAGGTTAAGAGCAAGAAGTTCAGGCGATCACACAGTCGCTACATTTTTCAATCGATTCTCGACGACGTGTCAGAATTGAACACTACCTGATCCGAGAAAACAGACGTCTCCTTCGCGGGTTCATAGACGACAATTTCTCTTCCTTCTCTACAATCTCCCTTCCTCTGTTCCCCCCTGGAAAATCTGGCCGCGACAAGACGTAATACCCCGTGACAATCGCCGCGTCCGCGACTTCTCGCTGAAGACCGCCCGAGTCGCGCCTATACTTGTACTTTCTGGCGATTTGTACCTAGAGTCCACGGTTTTAATAAAGAGTGTTACCATCAACCGTCCTACAGTGTCATTTTTACCGGAAATGATGGGAAAGTTATGAAAAATGCGGATAAATATAAGAGTATAACTCATTTAGTTGCAACTTTTACGTCTCGTTTCCGATTGATTGATGTATGTACAGCAATCTTTGTCAATAACACTGAATACGAGTTTCTAAATGATTAATTTACGAATAGACCATTACCCGAAGAAAACCAGACGGAAAAGTTGCAACTAAGTAAGTTATAAGTATGGTCATACTCTTACATAACTTTCCCATCATTTTCGGGAAAAATGGCAATTACATTTTTTATTCCTCAGGATGTGTAGATTTATGCTGTGACAAAATTTTTCGTTCCAGACGAATGTCAAACTTCGCCTATCTTTAACATTCTCCTTTAGACAATTTCTGATGTAATATTGTAACTATGAAGACATAATAGTGGTAGACAATAATACTAATCAAAATAGAAAGTAGCAAATATTATAATTCTATAAGTTTACCCTTTGCTGATTTCAATGGTTACATTTTCAATATTAAATAGTTACCTGTGTGGTGTCAGTATGACATTTGTGTGTGCCTTTAAAAGATCCTATTTGATTACTTAGAACTTCGTCCTGATTATTCTGCAACGGCGCCTCGCATTGATTTACTTCTAATCCGTTGATATCGATATCTATGCTTAAAAATTCTCGAACCCTTCAAAAAAGGATTTTATTATTAACATCTACCAAAGTAATTCTGTTGGTATTGTAATCTATACTCAGACTAACTATCAATGAATTAAAAGTCTTCAAACGTGAGTAATACATATACACTACCGGCTAAAATTTTGAAATCACTGTGCATTGCAAGTTACACAAAAATTGCCAGAAAAAAGTCAGCAGCTTTAAGAATTTTTTAACGAATTTTGTATCATTCAAATTAATCGATATGAGATAAATTGCTATTTATCTCCACAATATCAATATCAAGTCTATGAAAAATTAGTAGCAGATTCAGTACTGACGAAAATTGGGAGGTGATTCCAAACTTTTGGCCGGCAGTGTATGAGTTCTATTATAGGTTTTAATTTCTAGATCTTAAAATTTACTTGCATAAGTTAGTTAATTTTCGATGGAAACTTCAACCTTGTAGAAGTAGAGGAAAGTGACCAAAGTCGGACCCTCGACTTATTTTGTTAAGTAGATGTTGCAAACTAAAGGAATCATGGTTGCTCGTTTATTATTGAGCATTAGTAAATGACTCGTTGCTTTCCATTTTTGTAATTTATGAAATTGTTCCAACGTGTCTTCTCATTGATGTAATTTCATTTCTAAATTGGCAAATACTCATTTCTCACTTCTAATTTGTAGAAATAGAGTAGAAGTAACAATCTATACGGTTTTTAATTGTTTCTTATAGGTAATAATAAACGACATGTTTCTAAAACAATTCCCTTTCCTTAAATTGGACTCCATGCGTTCCAAAATCGGAACACTTTTCACCGAATATTTTGACGTGGTCAAATTATTTTCGTTAATTTTATCGTAATAAACGATGGGAGACAATAAGAGAAAGAAAAGATTGTGGTTTCATGAGTTAATGGCAAGGACGATAGAAGCAGTAAGAAAAAAGAAAATGGGATGGAAGAAAGGTGCTAAAACGTTTAAAGTCCCTAAAACAACTTTACTGCGTTTAATCAAAGTCTGTTTTAATTTTCCTCATTAAAAAAACATTTATATTTGGTAGCCTTAATATGCGAGAAATAGAGTGGACAACTTTGGAGCACTTTTTCTAAACCATCGTTTTTGGCATTTTTTCGTAAATTTGAAAACACTTTTCACTAATTTTTTACATGAATTCTGTCAAGGTCGGATCAAGGAATCTTTTGCCGTTGAAAAATTAATTTTAACGTTAACATTAACCCACTCAAGACCAGCGACTTTTCGAAAGTCGGTCCCCAGGAGCCAAAATTTGGTTTTTTCTTTATATTGAAAATTAGAAAAGAAAACATGTTTGGGTAGTGAAAAGTTAACATTATAGACATTTTTCGTGCAAATCAGGCCATGACACACCATGTGTGTCTGTACGTCGTTCAAAATGAGAGTAACCTCGCTCTCGGACCGATTCTCGTCCGTTCTGCGCATAGACAGAGAGCGTAGCAGAGGGTAAGACGGAGAAAAACGTAGGCGGTTAAGTGGGGGTTTGGACTTTCTAATTGTAGGCAATGGTTCTAGCCCTGTCTTAGGCACGTCCCATGCGCGAAGCGAGGTTATTCTTAAATTGGACAGAGTATACACTCACTTTGTGGTCCTAGCTTGAAACCAACGCAGGTTTTAATATCTACAGAGCTTTAACTTTTATTTTGTTTAAAAACGATCTTATTTCCATGATTAATACTTCAGTAATAACATAATATGAATCCATGATCGTTACACACACGGTGCGTCATTGGTCTTTTCTCCTAGGGACGGCATTGCACACCAGGTGTGTAATTAGCTTCGAATGGGTTAAGAATGTTATACAAGAAAAAGCAATCAAACTTTAGTCGCTTCCCTCTAATAAATTCTTCAATTACATATATTTACAAAATATCATATTGCTACATGTAATTCAAAATGTTTCAATTTATTTTTAAGTGTTACGATGCGTGTTACTTTCGATATTTTTATAATATTGTCGAATGAACTTTGTGCGAATTAGTTAAAAAGGAACTTCGCTTCGATAAATTTATTACATGTGAATCCAGTGTTGTTGTACAAGAGTAGTGTTGCATGTTACGAACGAGAGTTTGTATGTCACAAAAGTGTTCGCGATCTTCCAAAAAATCGGAATTTTATATAACCTGCGTGCGCGGAGCTATGTTATAATATATTCTAAAAATTCAATCATTCACTTCTGTTGAAGAAATTCAGGAAGGTCACACTCCTGGAGGAGCAAACAGCGCGTGCTGGTCTTCAACAAGACCTGGACTTTTTGGCTTGGCAGGACAGCAAATTTACTGAAGTAGCTATTGACAATTTAGAGGGAAAGTGTGGACTAGACTGACAAATGTTTCCATCTGTTAAACTTTCCTCGCAGTCCTGTGTCCAACAGTAAGGCTTGAATGTTACTACCTAATTATACCTAATAAAATTAGTGTTTACTGTTCAGTATCTATTTAAGTAACGAATAGGCAGTAACAAAAAATATTCAGTAATAAATTATTTAAGTTTTTGTGAATTTTTTTGTGATTACCATTTGTTCAATTTGCTTCATAGAATAAGCGTAATAAATGGTACATAAGTACATTTGTATCAAATCAAATTTACATGTGCATACAATTGAGAAATTGATTTGGTTAGTATTCAAATTGAAGAATTTATTTTAATTAGTTTAATTTAATTGTATTTAAGTAAAATTTAAGTGATAAATGTAATGTAAAAAATGTATATTAACACGTTGACCGCCGCATTTCACGGCTCGTCAGCTGTCGCGTAGATCGGGCCAGATTCATCTTAAACATAGTATACTTCATTGTTTTGTGTATTGTACTGGTTTGGGTGAATAAATAGGTTTTTCCTCAGTGTTAAAAAAAATTATAATGTTTACATATATATTTAAAATGATTATATGGTTTCTCACAATACTCGCTATGCTCACTATTTACTCACAACTCTCGACTCTGCTCTCTATACTCTCACCTCTATTCTGTCTCGTACGCGCTTCTTTCACCCTCATTTATCCTCATACCCTCACATTCGCTCTACACAGGCACTCTTAACCAAGATTCAGTCACATCCACCCAAAATCTTTCAGTGATACTCTCAAGTACACTCTTCTTTCACACCTCTATCGCTCTAGCTCAAGCACTCTTCGTTCACGCAACTATCACTCCAGGCTAAACACACTCGTAGACATTCTATTACCCCCAGAGTATCATATATACATTCTTTAAATACTTCATTTCCAATGGTGTATAAGCTGAAATTTTTAAATCCTATCAGTAAGTGTCAATATTGCCACACGATTGCACGTGAAAGCCATGCGCCAGTCAACGTCAGCCGGCGTGGCGGTGAACGTGTTAAAAATATAGATTAATATAAATAATTGGTACGAACCAATGACGAGCGTCTGGTGGTCGTATGTTAACACTGTACGAAATCAACCATCGATGACTTTTGCAGGAAAAATACGGGATGGTCCACCAACCCCTGTAGGATTCAATCGCCGGTGACTGCATGAATTTCGGTGACCTGGTATAACACGCAAACGCCACGAACCGCCATAGAAACTTCGATCTTTTCACGCATACGTGTTTCGTGCAACGACCCCATAGTAAAAGTTACTCTTTTTTAATTCGTCATCCTGGCACTTCACGGTCATCCGATATATACAAATGTTGAATTTGTATCGAATTGTCAATCACTGTCTGAATGCGTCAATATTCGAGGCTTCAATTAAGAAATTTTACGGAAGCAAGTCCTATCGTAAATTCAAATTGCATGCAGACTTTTAAAAATAATATTTGAAATGAAAACATGAACCAATATGAGTGTGACATTGTTATTACTTACTTGGTATTAAAAATTAAGGGAACATCTTCGAAGTCAAAATTTCCTTTACATTTCTAATACCAACGAATAAAATTAGAATATACACTTATTGTGATGAAACTAAAATTTTTTTAAGACGCAATATTAATTTTGTGTCTACTATATATTAGAATTGCCCCGTGCAATTGGGCCAAACCATAGCGTCGAAACAGTAGAAGATAGAAAAAAATTTCATTAGGCAAAATTAAATGGTTTCGAGTGATGCATGACGTGGTGAAGCTGAAAATAAAATATCTGTTTAGTCGTCCTATTAGATTTACGGCGTTCTCCAGGCACGGGTCTGGAAATTATTTGGTCCTTCGCAGCAGTTGTAAATTTGGGAGGCCATCAAGCACTTTAACGTTTATTTAGAAGTTCGATGCTTTTCTTCTCGTGGCTCTCGTCCACATCTGTTTCTTATATTTTAACTCCTCGGGTTTTTGGTCTCCACTTTGGTATGTTTTTGTTAGCGACGAAGCGCTGTCCAGACTTATTACTTGCTGCGTTTATTGCTTCGAGACACGCGAGTTTCCGCGCGCGTCACTCAAGGGTGCGGACGACACTTGAGAGTGACCGTTGACTTGGGGGCGTCCCTTTAGTTCGTTCTTTGTTTAACAGTTTGCCAATCGCGTATAGTCAACCACCTCCCTTGTCGAAGTCGAAATTGTAATAACCAATCCGCGTGTCTCACCCCCGCCGAATGTATCCTGACCGAGGTATCTTCGAACTTTTTCTGAGACCTCGAAATCAGAATCCATTCGGCTAGCAACAAGCAGCATTGAAATCTTCCGGAAACCAAACAAGAGCAAATTAGTTAGTCTCCCGATACACGGGAGTGGTCCTTCGAATTTGTAATTAGTCGGCACAAACGTGCAAATTCAGCAAAACTCGAAAGATCGTAAGATCACCGCGAGTAGACTAAACAATATCTTTTACACTAATCACTCTTCGACCCGAGTATCTTAATACTTTTTTGTGGAGAATTAAAAAATTCATCGAATGGTGTATAAAAAAATGCATAGTTCCGTTTGAAAAAATAGCAGTGACCTTAAAATCTTTGAAACGCCTTCACTTCTGAAGGAAGTCACTCGAAATCGAATTTTGCCTAATGAAATTTTTTTCTACCTTCTATGATTTTGACGCTATGTCTTGGCCCAGTTGCGTGGGACGCCCTGTATAAGTATTTAAAAAACTTTCGCTTTCGTCTTCATTAGGACACGTGCGTATTCATAGGTATATGTTTTATAATACATAGTTGCGTTGGTAATAATTGCTTTGCGTTAACTACAACGGTTAGTTTTACGATAGCCGCTATAAATACTCCTGCACCGTGTATATGTAATGAAAAACCTTTAATAACACATTGATAAAGTATTGATTATCGTAGGTGACTATTTAAGCATTTATGTTCCCCTTCAAAACAAAAACCATGTTTATATCCTTTAAATAAAATTCGCACAATATTTTTGGTGTTCAACAAACAAGATATAATAAAATGAAATGAAATTCTGGAAAATAAGCTTTTCATCAAAAATTATGAAGGAAAAAATGGTTATAACATATTACACTATATCTTCCTAATATGTTAAAAATTATTTTATGATCTGTATATTATTATTTTTTTCACGGAATATCAAGAAAAATTAAACAGATCCATAATCCAGTATCAGCAGAGCAATTACCATTCATTTGTTTAAATCTTTGATGACACTACTTGTCATTGCTTGCAGTCTTTACTTATCATTGCAATATTTTCTTTTCAACAATTCTATTCACTATAATTGTCATTTCTACGATCATGTGCTCTTGATTTTGCTGATGTAAGTGAAATCTTCTTGTTAAATTTTTGCTGTAGACAGTAATTGTATCTTTTATTATTTTACGATATGTGATTTCAAGTACTTATTAACCCTTTCGCGACGGCGGAACTAGGCATCAGTGCGCCATTAACGGACGGGTCGTCGTGCCGTTAGTGCACACCATGAGTCATTCGCGTTTTTGGAGCTCCCAATGTGTCCGTGTAAAATTTTAGAGGATTTCGTTGGAACAGCAGAGGACTTAAGGATGTATTGCATACACTTAGTGTATGCCGGATATAACCGGCGCCAGCCAGTGTGAAGAATTTAGTGGATGCCGGATATAACCGGCGTTAGTCGCGAAAGGGTTAAGTTCCTTTTAAAAGCAATAAATCTTAAGTGTTACGATAATTTTGTACAGTCATTCCTTGTTTATAATGTTTTATATATTATATTGAGTAAATTCTTAGGAAATGTAATGGTTTTATAAGTGAAGAGAATAATATGTGTACATAAGCTCCAAATAATTCGGAACATGATATTTTTTAAAGTTTAACATTAAGTTATCTTTATGTAAAGATCTGTCTGTCCGTTCATTTCCTAGTTTAAATCCACTGAAAAAGCGTTGCATGAAACCAAGAAAAATAATTATAATAATTAAAACAACTTGGTAACAATTTTAGAATTTAAATCATTCAATTGTATGTGTACATCACATATTTAATCGATTATGAGCTGTCGAACTTTGAAACATTCAGAAAATATACGTTTCTCATAAAAATTATTATTATTTTCAGGAAGAAAAGTTCTGAAAATATTTCCTTGTTACATTATCGCGTATCGAGTTTCTATGACTTGACGCTCATACAAGATGATGAAGGATGATGAATGATCGTGGAGCGCCTATAAAATGTTTTTCTTCTCAGTAAAACTATCTTGCAGATAAATCAATTTATGCTTGAAATGTTACTCTATAAGTATACTGCAACATTGCATTAACAATATTACCAATTACTCATAGTTTACTGTATTACCATTTTTTTATAACATATTCGATTATTTTACCGAGGAGAAGAAACGAAAATTAAATATGAAGGGCGAGGTGCGAACAGAAAACATTTTTTGTGCGTGTGCGTGTGTGCAGGTTGACAGTTCTCGAAAAGAAATGTGCAAACGTGAAAACATTGCAATACATACATATCTTTAAATATTTTCAATTAATTCCATTACTTAATCTACGTATGTCACGTAATAGTCGTCTTATTATTTATTACTGTTGTCAATTTACGTAAAAAGGGACGAAATTTAATAAATACATACATTAATATGGAATATTATTAAATTCCATTCATCTGAACTAATAATATCAGTAATTAAATTTTTAACGTTGTATCGTTAACGAAGGATAATTGGAAAACAATGAAATCATTTTAACATCTGTTTTAGAAAGCAGACTAAAATGTTCATTTTATAGTACAATAATTTATAATTTTCTGAAAAAATTGTATACGTTCAAATAAGTAACATATAAATCATTAGAACTCGTACTATACAATGTAAGTATCTGCTTATTCGTTGTTTAAAAATTACAATAATCTGAGCTACGCAAAGGGCTTCAAGTTAGATCCTCTGCAATTTCTCAAATGTAAGATATACCATTTTCCAAATATCACGTTCATTAATACCTCATTTATCACATTCATTATTATCATGGGAGAAAAGGAAATTATGAAACAATATAAATTGGAAGTAATGATCATTAAAACTGTCTTATGATAATAACAAAACAGGTATGATAGTGTCGCTTTTTAGAAAAAGGATGAAATGTGATAGTGAAAACACATCGCAATCAAAACATCTTGCGCAGTACATTGTATTAGGTGTTAGCTTATTCTTAATTTATCCAAAGTTTCCTCTTTTCACAGACTTTTCGACAACACTATCATACATTTCTCATGGTTAACGCTGGAAAAAAATGCGTAATAGATGCACGTACACTGCTATTCAAAAGTTAGGAATTAGTCAACGTTTCAGCAGAGATAATGTTAATGCTACTTCCCACGTTCTCCTGCTGTAAGGAAGGTCGGATGGGCGTTAAATGTATTATTGGACGAATGAGTGTTAACTTTCATCGCTTATTGTTAATTGGTTAAATTAACATTAAATGTAAGTCGAATATGGCGAACTTGGTCGTCCTGATATCGTATTGTTATGCCGCGGCAACGAAAGGAGTCTCGAAGAACGTTTTCTTGGTGTGTAGTTTTATTAATATCTTACAGGAAGCACGTACAGAGAACGTTTTCAATATGACGTGCGCGGGACGAGGTGAGAACAACTATTGGCCAAAATGTGCGGGGACGCTGTCTTTTAGGCCTTCGTTTTCCCTGGAGTTTGACCCTATCGATGAAGAAGCCGTTCGAGCTTCGAATGGCCGAAGGATCCTCCTGGTGCGTCAGGATAGTGACTAATTCTATAAGTGTCACTATCCTAACAGTATGTTGTGTTGTGTACTTGTACCATTATTATTTTTCTTCAGAAATCTAGACGTCTACTATTGATTTAAAGCACTTCTATTGGGAGTGAACGGTGACGTGATGGGCAAATTAGCTTACTTCTCACCCCTAGACAAATCTTTCTGGTCTCCGGACCTACCGCCCACCGCGGTAAGACCGCATCTCAATTTGGCTGACATTAAGATAACTTGTAGTAAAGAACTTGCAATAACTTGTAAATCTACCAATGTTACACCAAACCCATTATTTTTCTCCAGTTTTAGTATACAGGGTGGCTCACCCAACGTGACCACCTAAATTACTTTCATTATTAGTAAACCACTCCAAATTGTTTTGATCATAGAGGTTACGGTTTCAAAGGATCTCTAAAGTAGTGACCCTAGATTTTTTCTATGTCCTTTTCTAAATAAGTTTTCAAGGTCATATTTAATGTCTTTATATATAAATTTCATATATTAAAAAATGTATTATAGTATGGTCGTTGAATTCGTCTCAATGCTTGCTAGCTAATAGGCAAAAAAAAAAAAAAACTATAGGGTTATAGATAAAAAAATTGAACATGGCCTTGAAAATTTACTCTAAAAGAGTTTGAACTGTGAGGAGGGACGCCAGGACTCGACGCAACACACCCTCGCGGAATGTCCCGCCATGGTCCAGCCTAGTCAGGGCCATGGTGGCGAGCGAGAGGTCCTGGGAGGCGGCGGCCTCCTTCTGTGAGCAGGTCATGCTGCAGAAGGAGGCCGCCGAGAGAGAGAGGGGGAGGACAGCGGTCATCCCTCCAGGAGGACGAATCGGGGGGCGAGGAGGCGAGACCCCCACCCTCTCGACTAGATGCACATGGGGCCGCGGGGCCAGGCCCCTCCCCCAGGCGGCTCCCCAGAGAAGGGGCGGCACCAGGCGTGGTCCCCCGGCGCCGCCGAGCCTACGGGCGGAGCTACAGGGAAGGGGCGGTAGTGTAACCGCCTCCTCCCTCGAGATCGGGGAGCAAGCCGTGGCGCGGGGAGGGCTGCGGAAGTCATACAAAGTTCCCGCGGCCCTCCCCAGCGCGCCCGACGAGGATCACCGCGGGAATTTTAGTGGGTAGGAATCCCACACTATCCCACCTCCCTTCCCCAGGGGAGACAGGGTGTCTTTGGTAGATTTCCCCCACGTAAAAAAAAAAAAAACGATCCTTTGAAATCGTATCATCTGTAACAAAAAAAGTTTTAATCGGTCCACTAATAACGAAAACAATTGAGGTGGTCACGTTAGGTGGTCCACCCTGTATACAGTACATCCGGTTTATCTTAGAACACAGAAGTACATATTTCTAAAATCACGAATGATGCCAAAAAATAATTCAGATGGTAATTGTAGGATATCGATGGCGACATATTGTTCTGGAACTTTTTTGATCTTGCAATGACTTTGAAAAGCCCTGTAAAGGGTTCATGTTTTTAAATGGAAATGTATATTTTTGATTATATATTCTTGCAGCTGACATCGTGTCGTTTTCAAATCACTGCATACATGTCGCTTTTGCGAAAATTATTATCGAGATATTAGCTTCCAAGTTTTACATGTCGCCGGTATTAGCGTTAACTGTTGTACACAGATAAATATAAAAACTTCGACGGTAGATACTCTTGTGTAATATAAAAGAAAAGTTAAACCGTCTCTGCTAAAACATGGATTTATCCCTATCTTTTGAGCAGCAGTGTATATTCAAAGTTAACTGTAAGATCACTTCAATCCAAAGGAATAAAAATATTTTACGTATGAATCGAAATATGAAAGCAATGACAACGTAATTGGTGCACATAGAATATTTTGAATATGTGCAATTACATTTATCGAGGTGCATCAGGGTTTAAAAATTGTACGTTAGATAAATCGAACCTCAGTTCTGTAATGGCACCCGCATTTTCGAACCATGGTAAATTTGGATCCGGTATAGATCCTGGCTGAAGTCCGTGATTCTCGACTTTGGACGGTTCTCCAACGCTTCCTGGACTCCTCTCCAACCAGACTGAACTAATCACCGCGCCCGTGGACGAGTTCAGCGCGATCACCCTTGTTCCTACTGCATCGTTCACCGACATCAGCAGAGACTTTGCTAATACATCTAAAAGTACTGTGTAACATTCCAATGAATTGTCATTTATTCGAATGGTTATATGTAGATATATAATTAAATGGTAAATGCTAATTCATTTCTATTCGCCTATTAACTGACACATATTTTGCTTTAAGACACTCGTGATTGAATATTATTAACTGGCAACAGAGAAATTGACTCATTTTGCCCATAACGGTTGTAGCTATTGTACATAGCAGGTGTGGCCAGCTACACTACCTTTGGAAGCCACATTTCAGGTTGCCGAGAAGCTGTTAGGTCGTTCTGGAAAGTTCTGTCGGAGATTTCGTCGTCTGAATTCGAATAATCGTAACTTTGCCGGGGCGCGTTTATATTTTTGGAGGCTCTAGGCCAAGGGTGGCCAGCTACACTACCTTTGGAAGCCATATTTCAGGAAGGAATATTTGAAAGAGCCATCTATTTATTTTTGATAACGAAACAAACAATGAGAAACTGAAAAATCAGTTCAATTTTTTAAACTTTACCCACAGATCAGTTTTATTTGCACAAGAGACGCACCACTCGCCTGTGAGAGCCGCGCTATGGCCACCCCTGCTATAGGGTAGTCCACGCAATTGTTTCAGGTTATAACTCTGTTATCACTACAGTTACAGAAAAATGTCGAAGGAGAAAGATAAATGGTTCAAAAAGTACTAGGTATACCCCTAGGACCATGTTTTTTATAGAAGTGCATGTGCAATCAACAGTTGCATTATATTTTTATGTGGAAATGTGTACTCTTTTTACATTGATAGATTTCTCTCATCATTCTACGTGAAAAAGTATTGGAACACAATGGACATCGATTTAGAATTTTCTTGACTGTAACAGTTCACTTTGAACATCGATTCAGAATTTAGAACATTAGTCGATACATTCTATCTCCCTGTACCGTGGTACCTATTTCTTAATAAATTTTTTTGATTTATGCAAGTAGTTAGTTGCATTTACAAAGATTACTCGTTGTCCTTTTGCTTACAAACATGGAAAAATGGCTTCAATCCAAATAATGTATAGGTACAGTACTCGTTTCGAAAATATCCGTAGTTTCCAATTACAGTAACCGTTCTAAGAGTCTTAAATATAATGCATGCTGAAACAGAACGTATATTTTTAGATTATGACGTTCGTCTTTGTTTTTCGCGATATTTTTGGTAAATGTGACAGATACACTCTTGTGTGATACATTATAATTGCACACGTTTTACGAAGATATTTCAGAGGATTCGTTAAATGTCGGAGTTAGTAGTCGAAATAAGTCGTCAAGGAGGATTCTGCATGTTCTTTAGGGTCTTAGACCGGGGTAAAAATCATAAGGTAATTAGATAACACCATAAAGGTAATTACTAATTGCTAATTAGATATCACAAATGTTATTGGTATAACTTAAGGTATAAATTAGATAACACAAAATCGAAACAGAAAATTCGTTATATCTCATAAACGAAAACAGATAGAACATATATGTATTTATAGGAACTTTTTTCATTGTTTTTAAGTGTACAATCAGCTCCCGAAGTGGGAAGTAACATGTTCTATTACACCCTGTATAATAAACAGTTGCCACTCCTTTATAACATAGTTTGTTAATATCTTTCTTAAATTTCTCACAATTTTTCGAATTTTTTGCTTCAATTCATACCATAATGTTCAAAGTAGACTCGTTGTCAGCTCATCGGATTACGCAAGTGCTTATATGTTATACATACGTATAATTATGCAGTACATTTAAGCTGTGTTTCTTTAGGATGTTATCATGCCGAAACTTAAATATTTCTCTAATCTCTATACTAAATTCCCGTATGGGATTGCTAGTCCCTCGACGAGTGCCTCCCCAAATGGTGGATTGGGAAATACTCGTCATGCTTGCATGGAGGGTACTTGTGAAAGAAAATAGCGTGATTTAAAACTAGCAATTAGAGGAATGATGAACAAAGAAGTATCACGTAAGTTTGCGAGACAAGGGTTTCGGAACCCCAGAACCGGTCCGAATAGAAGGTTAGTGAGTGGATTTTCACGGGTCGTCAACTAGTCACCGCTCTGCACCCATGGTAGGGTTCCAAGCCAAGGTGTCAGATACTGCTACTGGACTCAGAGATGAAGGTTAGGACACTCATAATTCTTTCCAGCAGCAAGAGGACCATGAGATCTCCCATCAGAGTTGCAAGCTACTCTTTAGTAAACATGGCAGACAAGACAGCCAAAGAGGTTCTTCCACAGAATAATCAGATTTTCACTTAAGAGAATCAGTTAGAAACATAAAATGAGACCAAACTATGGTATGCATGGCAATAAACTTTTGTAACCATTAACACCTTACAAGAGAACATACACCAGTTAACGAGAAAGGTACAAAACCTTGAATCATTAATGACTGTGTAGCGATCAGCTACAATACCCGGGGAAATAACATTTGGCGTGCAGACGACCAGCACGGTTTATGACGTGCGCGCTTGAAAAGCTATTTTTGAGGAAACCTGTTAAAGTATTCGAAGTGCCCGCGTGTGGAGACCCACCGAGCGTCAACTGTTTTTCCCCGAAAGCACGCGTACTGGTGCCGTTCCGGTTTCGTCCACTCGTGTACGGGCGTAGCGTTACGCCACGTGTAAACTATATATTGTGTTGTGTTTTTATATCTCTCCTTGATTTCTTTCTGTTCCACCACCTCACATAATTAACAACCCAACAAAACCGTTTTAGTTTATTTAATTTCTAGAAATCCGACAATGCATGTCCGTGTAGAACTTACTTCGACGGCCTCAATAGTAAATTGCCGCGTCATAAACCAAGGGTTTCCGAAAGGTCTGCCGTACGAGGCCCAGAGGCCACGATCGGACAAGTTACGAGTACCTGACCTGGAAGAAATTCCGTTGTGTTGCCAAATCTCCAGTGTAAAGTACACCCCTCCACCAAGTTGCACCGTGGTCCCGGAAAAAGAGCGCCAAGGGCGCAAGGGACACGCAGCGACTTGTAAGAAAATTATCTGATTGACTAACATCGATGCTACGGGTTAGCCAATCAGGAAAACTAACAAAGCGACAAAAGTTAGTTGGAAAAAGGCGAGACGACAGGAGGTCAGTCTAGCGCGAACCTCCAGAGCTAAAATACTAGTATCAATAAAGACTTCACCGGACTACCGTGTTGGTACATTGCTGAACCCAGTAACGTGCATTTTCATTATCCTTTAACTGGCACTAGCAATAAACAGGTAATGGAAAAGAAGGTAGAATATTATACTGACGATGAGGAAGTGGCGAAGAAGACCTAATGAATAGTGAAAAACGCTAGTAAGAATAAAAAAAAATATTATCAGCCACACCAGAAAATTCTCCACAACTACCAATTCATCACAAATATCAAGGAAGACAGTTGAAAAGAAACATCCTACACCACCGCTAATCAATTTTTTCAATACAGTATATTATGAACAACATTTACTTATTAACACGTTCACTGTCGCGCCAGATTTACAGGTTGCTGTCAGGCGGCCACAAGAAAATACATTTTAAGCATAGGATTATAGTATTATGCTTTATAATTTTTTTTTTTTCAATTGATAATGTCTAGCTAGCTATGACGTTCAAAATTTTTAGTTAACAACATTTATTTTATTTTAATTATTCTAAACATTTGAGGCACTCCACTCACTGATGACCACCATGGCCATATCGAGGAAGCAATCTAATGTTAATACTTCATAATATATCGCTTTGGATGAAATACAAAAACAAATTGCTAAGAAATTACATTCAATACCTGTACACATTATCCGTCGAATGTAGAGGGAGAGCCACCGTTTGGTTGCCAGTTGTTTATCACATAGAGTCGGCCTACCTCCAAGTAAAAAAAAAAAATGTAGGGTTGATTCCACAAGTGTCAGTAAAATGTAGAGTCGATAGCAGCAGAAAAGCTGCTAAACAATTAGAATTAAATGTAACGATAGAAATTATTGCAATAATGCGTAATGCAATTGAAAGAATCAAAAGATCAAAAGAAAAAACGCGAATTCATATCTTTCTCGATTCTAGAATATAAGAAAATTTGAATAAAATACGCGACGAGAATTGGGGAGAAGCATAAGTTAAACGCGTAAAAATATTCAATAATAAACGAACTAGGGATGAAGCTATTATTTCAATACGCGATGCACTGACTCTAGTATTTACTAAAATTCAAAAATTCTCGTATAAATTCCGAAAATAGATTATTAATTACGGTAAACTACTGAGACGGTTTAATTAAGGGTGGGCATGGTGCTGCTTTAGTTTGAAATGATTTATAAACACATAATTAACAGAGGAAAAACCGTGAAACGGCAAAACGTCTACATTCTAATTGTTATAACATGTAAACAGAACTTTAAATTTAGTGTAAACAGAAAAAATATATAATACAATTTATTTCACGGTATTGCAACAAATAAACGTTGAATCAATATTTAATTCGTATAAAAACAATTATTTAACGTAATAATTTTACCTTCACTATGGCTATTTTTAATCTACGACCACAGGTCAACCTGATTTCTAATCCTTACGAACTTTAAATTCAGTCTAAACTGAGAAAATATATAATACAATTTATTTCACGGTATTGCAACAAACAAACGTTGAATAGATTCTTAATTCGTATAGAAACATTTATTTAAAATAATAATTTCACCTTCACTATGGCTATTTTAAATTTACGACCAAGGGTCAACCTGATTTTTAATCCTCCGAACTTGATTTCACAACGAGAAAGTAATAAGATCGTTGAAACGTACTTATTTGTCAAAGAAACTTGCAAAAATGTATAAATAATAATATGTAATGTTTTAACAAATTTTTGGAAGTATAAATTAATAATAAAATTGTGAAAATTAATAAATTATACGTTATTATAACATTAATAGAATTATGACTAAACCGAAGTTCGAAGTCGAGTATTTAAAGTCTGATATTACGTGCCTAGCGAGTGCCGGTAATTGTTAAAATTTGTTTAATAATTAGTAATAG